AGGAGCATAAAGAGAGGTATCCAAACCGGACTTAGGGGTATAACACAGAAAACCTTTCTGTGGCGATGGGTTCTAAGCTATGGGTGGGGTGCTTAAAAATCAGGAACCATTTCACACGGCGAGAACTTTTAAGCCACTGATTACTCTAAAATGATTGAAATAAGAGAGGGGCATGACCAGCATTTTAGAAAGATAAATCTGGCTGTAATCCAAGTAGCAGGAAAGTAGTTATTTAGCAGACACCATCAGTAGTGATTCAAAAAAGAGAGAGGGGGCCAGGATGACTCCCCTGTTCTGACTTGAGACAATACATGGAGAGTGGTACCACTCACCAAACCAAGGAACACAACAGAAGTTTCTCAAGATGGGGAGAGGAACTGAGTCAGTTTGGGACTCGTAGAGTATATGTGTCTCTGACACATCCAAGCCATTTGACACAAGGCTAGATATATGGAAACACAGACTGGAGATGTGGGCTTGAGAGGATCTGAATCCAAATACGACATGTTCATAAGATGACAAAAGGCCCAAGTGGAAGCCTGAGGACGATAACTTAAAGGCCTCCACCAAAAGCCTTCCCCAGCAGAACCAACAGCATTCTATATGTTATTCTTAAAACTGTGAGCTTTGCACATAGTCCTTTTTCTGCTTAGTTAGAATAAGAAATTATGATTGGCAAGGGGGAAAAAAGCAATGGCTCATTCTGCTACTTGAGCGTATTTTCAGATGCAATGGGTATTTGCAAAATATAGTATTTATTTGTACAACCTCTCTTAAAATAGCTACCTGATGAATCAACAGACAGCCTGTGTTCCTATGTGTTTATGTTCATTTGGACATTAATACGCTTTTAATTGTCAGCCAAGCTTAAACTGACAAAAATTGTGCAAGTATCTCTGTCAAGCACCTTCAAGCCTCGGGTACCTTCTACCTCTGGGCTCTGACGAAGCCCAGAAGCTGAGCTTTTAAGAAGGAAAGGCAATGGGGCGCCAGGGCGGCTCAGTCAGTTGAGCTTGAGCGTCCGACTTTGGCTCAGGTCATGATCTCGCGGTTTGTGAGTTCGAGCCCCACGTCGGGCTCTGTGCTGACAGCTCAGAGCTTGGAGCCTGCTCCGGATTCTGTGTCTCCCTCTCTCTCTACCCCTCCTCCACTCATGCTCTGTCTCTCTGTCTCAAAAATAAACATTTTTAAAAAATAAAAAAAAATTTTTAAAAAAAGGAAAGGCAAGACCTCTTCTGAGACACTAAACCAGAACTGAATATACATACTCCCCCGGATCTGGTCTAAGGTTTGAGGCCACAGAGGATGTGGTCCCTCAAAATACGAGAAGTAATGAGAAATAAGAAGAGTACTGTTAAGCAAAGGTATACAGATCCTGAAACTAAAATCAATCCCTTCACATCAATACGGTAAAGAGATTCTTGTTCTTATTTTAGTGGCTTAAACAACCCTCAAAAAAGCATTACAGTCATAGTCCACACTCCACATATGAAGTGGACTAAATGCTATTAATGCTACTTCATGACAAGAGGACTGAAAGTGCCCTGCTAATGTAACCCAGGAGTCTATTTCAGACTAGAGATAGGAACCATATGATCCTAGGAGACTTTGTACACTCACAGAAAAATATTTACCAAGCAAAGTCTACACTAAGTCCTGAGACTAAAAAAGTGAGTAAAACACAACTTCATTCAAAAGGAGCTTATGCCCGAAGAGGAGAAAAGATGCACACACAAATTACCATAACTGTTACGGGACTAGAGAAGGCAGCAGTGGAATCCTGTTAAAGAGCATTAGCTGAGAGGGAGAGGGGGAAAAAAAGGATTCCCAGCTTTATAGAACAATTTAAACTGAAACTGACGATCAGAGGGGGGGATAAAAGGTCAAGAATGCCCTCACTACAAATCCAAGAGAGAAGAGTAAAAACAAGTTTTCAAAATCTTAAACAAAACCAAATTTTAAACTCTCTGAATCCCCCCAGCGAGGACAAGTCTGGAGTTCTGTTTCTGTTTACTTTTCAAGAATCTAAAACATCTATACAAAGAACCATGCCTGGCTTTGAATTTTCCAGTATTAAAATACTGAAAAGCTCAAAAATCGTGCTAAGAAGACAAGATCCTCCAAATTCGTAACAGGAAATATGGCATTTTCCCAGATTATTTTCTGGCTTCGGTGAAGAGAGAGAATGGGGACCACACTGCAGCAGCAGGATTTATAAATATGAATTACAGGATAAGATGATTTTCCAAACATCTGTCAAAAGTTCATTTGATCCACGGGAAAAGGGGAAAAAAAGACTCAAGAGAAGCCAAATATAGTGACTAATATGTGGACCTTTTATAGACTTCAGCGGGTTGATGGCCTCATGGGCATCACATGCCCACTCAACAATAATAAACATACAAAGCCTACACAATAATGCACTTCATACCATCCAGAGCACTTTCCCATGTACCCGCTCATTTGACTCTCACAATGCACATAGTGGATACCTCTGGTTAAATGTAAAGACAGAGAGCCCTGGTATTTTAACATGCTATACATAGTGGGAAGATGTAGAGACGCCAGGTAGCTTCGTGGTTAAAAGAAAACCACTGTTCTGCCACTTCCTACTTATATAGTCTTGGGTTAGTAGTTTCATGTTTTCTTCTAGGGTACTTTACGTATAAAATGAGAGTAATAACTACCTCATGGAGTTATTACCCAAGATTAAATAAAAACAAGTATGATAGCTAGTATAGTGTCTGACATATAATAGGTACTCCTTAAATGAAAACTAGCAATGGTAGTTTTCAAAAGCTCTATAAATACCTGGTGCAACGCTGTTACTAGGAGAGCACTTTTCCCCTGCATTTAAACTGCGCTCAGATACCTAGATGTTTTATAACAAAGCAGGCAGCTGTTGGAAACAGCCCCTGAAGGTTTATTCGCTCTTTGTTTCTTGTATGTTGTAATGGGGGGGGGGGGGGGGGGAGAGCACAAGGAAAGTTGACTAAAATATGTGTAGAAATAACCTATTTTTATAATTTTCCAACTTTTGCTTGATGATGTACTGAAAGACCTGGACAAAATTATACCATATCCCTTTCCCTGTTGTTAAAACAGGCTATTTGGGACACTTAATCCCTACTTCTGAACATTCTGCTTAGGTATTGTGTGGGACGTGCTTTGGAAACAAGTTAGTGTCCATTAATTTGACTAGCAAGAGGAAATAGCCACCTTTTTACTTTCTCAGTTCTATGAAGTGAACTAAATGGAGGTCTCTTAACTGAGATTAGAATTCAGGTTTTCTACTTTTCAAAACTATCATGTCTTGAAAAATATAAAATTAGGAGTTTTCATTTGTACAGGTCTCAAAACAGACCCTGAAACTTGCTATTGTCCCTAAATCTTCAATCTAGGCTTGACTATGTACGTCAGGTGATCAAGTCATGTGACTGTGTTTGTGAAATTAATCACCAAATTGCTATTTTCATCTCCTGAGAATTTCATTCCAAAAAGATTTGGTCCTTTTTACTGGATTCCACTCCTGCTCTATTTTCCCCATTACAATGAGAAAGCACTGCCATCTACTGGACTCTGAAGATATTGCTGCTATAGCTTTTAGTCCGAGAGAATTCTTAACAATTCTACTGCTTTTTTGCACTTTGTCAATAATATAGCAGAGTTATTTTGACAGTATGAGTTACATAAAAATAAAATTCCAGGAGTCGGGGGTCAGGGTAAAGTAGGATAGGAGACAGAAATAATACCACCACCACCCCCCCCCCCCTCCACCCCCCACCCCATTATTGCTGATAGTCCTAAATACAACATGCATTCACCTACATTCATTAACAAATTTCTACTGAGCACCTACTATACTATACCCCAGGTACTGGGCAAGGGACACAATGTTAACACGATAGGATTAGAGAGGTAATCTCCCTTATCATATGATAGAGTTTAGCACCTAGTGGGTAGTTTCCATTTATTATTGAATTCTATTCATGTGCCAGGCTCATAATGTTCACGACCACCTTTCATCCCCCAATTTATGATGAGGTAGAAATTGTTACCTCCATTTACAGAGGAGAAAATAAACTCAGAGGTGACTCAATTTGCCCAAGATCTCTCTCGTAGGTAAGTTAAACTAGGAATTAAACTCACAGCAATCTGACTCCAAAACCTGTATTCTAAACCACCAGATTACACTCATCCAGGTAGCTGTCAGCATCCTCCCCAAAACAAGAGGAGCTGACAAAAGGAAATTCAGGCAAAGATGGTCTTACATGTCTATGTTAAAGGCAAAACTCCTAAACTGAGAACTGAAGGTTTCCAGCTTATTGGAGAAGGAGCTGACCCAACAACCTCTTATCCCCCCCGCTCCCCTAATTGCCATTCTGGCAGTTAAATCCATCTAGAAAACATCTCTTCAAGCCATCTAGCCTTATTCATCAACTTCCATCCGCTCCAACTTCAAGCTACAACAGTGTTCCTCTCTGGTTCTCCATAGTCCCCAAACATTAAAAAGGGCACCTCTACCTAAGGTGCTCTTCAAATTACTTATATTCTGCTCTAATTCACCTGTGTCATCTGCAAGACCCAAATAACTGACACCAAAAACAATTTTTCAAACTAATCCCTAAGATTTTCTGGTGTGTCCAATAGTTTCCAAACACACTCCTGGTAGTGAGACCGAACTGACTAATCCGTAATAAAATTGTATTGCACTTCATCAAAAGTCACCATTCTGTTTTGACCCTCCAAAGAATTATGTAGAATAAGAGCAAACAGCCCAGATCTTCTTTTAGGAAAGTCAATAATCTAGATTTAGAAAAGATGAATTGGGGTGGTTACAAAACAAGTTTTTGCTTTAGAAAGCATTTTACCTTAAGCCACACTAAACAAACTTATGATGATACTTAAAACAAGCTTCTATTTACACAGTGCTTTTTACACTATGTGTCAAGGCACAGCTGGACTAAACAAAACTCACAGAATTAGGAAAACCCTCTTACCTTATGTTCAAATGGAGCACCATAGTAGCCATCGTTCAGCCCAAAAATTATTTCATTCTGGTTGCGGGCATGAATCTATAAAAGAAGAAAAACACCCTATCAGTTCTTCTCATTCCAATTAAGTTTTAATATGATTGGAGCATGACAGTTAAAACAGGACCTGCTTCAATGCTGAAAAACAGGCTGACTAATCTAACAAGCCAGCAGAAAACAAATCACTTATCCTAAGACCAGAGAATCCATTGAGAGCCTCTTGCTTTAGTCAAAGGGCTCACAAAATCATCACATGAGATAACAGGCACCATCATTCACATATATTTTCCACAAATACTTCTTGAGATTGCTATGGAAAGGCTAGTTCTAAAACACAAGGGATCCAGAGACATACTGTATATTCTCTGATCTCAAAGAAAACACAATCCTAGTCCATAAGAGTGCTTTAAAAAACATAAAGTCCTGAGGTGCCTGGGTGGCTCAGTTGATTGAGTGTCTGACTTTGGCTCAGGATCTCTCGGTCCATCAGTTTGAGCCCCACGTCAGGTTCTATGCTGACAGCTCAGGGCCTGGAGCCTGCTTTGAGTTCTGTGTCTCCCTTTCTCTCTGCCCCTCCCCTGCTGGGTGCTCTTAACTTTCTCCCTCTGCTCGTGCCTTAACTTCATGCCATACCACCACCTACCACCACCACCTACCACCAAAGATAAATAAACGTTAAACACACACACACACACACACACACACACACACACACACAAAGGTCCTAGAAAAAAACATACAAGATTAATATTATTTTCTGTTTTCTTTTTTTTTTTTTTTTTTAATTTTTTTTCAACGTTTTTTTTATTTTTGGGACAGAGAGACAGGCATGAACAGGGGAGGAGGGGCAGAAGAGAAGAGGAAAGAACTACAGAAATCTTCCAGGCTCCTGACCATCAGCAAACCCGACGCGGGGCTAAAACGCAGATCGTGACCTGGCTGAAGTCCGGACGCCTAACCGACTGCGCCACCCAGACGCCCCACTGTTTTTCAAAAGACAGTTTAAAGATAATAATACCTAAGCTGCATCATCACTCTGGACCCTAGTTTCCTCAACTAGAAATGAATGAGTCAGATTATGCTCTGTTATATCCACTTCTGTACCTACCCGCCCCCCTCCGTAAATCAACATATCATCCAAATTTCACTCAAGATGACCAATCAATTTAACCTAACTAACGTTTGTAAAACAATCCGTTCAGTGACAACAGAATACACGTCACATGTATAGGAAACACTCACCAAAAAGAGATCTTATATTCTGGACCATAAAATAAACCTCACAAAAGCCAAAAGGATTGAAATCATACAAACTATTTTCTCTAAATCCGTCAGAATTCAAGTAGAAATCAAGAAAAGAAGGATATCTGGAAAATACACAAATGTTTGAAAATTAAACACCATACCTCTAAATAACCCTTGAGTCAAGAAATAAAAGGGAAATTAGAAAATATTTTGAATTGAATGAAAATGAAAATACAACATTGAAGTCTGTGAGTCAGAGTTATTGCAAGGCTTAGAGGAAAATTTATTAAATGCTTACTTTAGAAAAGATAAGTCTCAAAACAGTAATGCAAAATCCTACCTTGAGAAACTAGTAAAGAAGAGCAAAGTAAACCCAAAGCAAGTAAAAGAAAGAAAATTATAAGTATAAAATGAGAAATCAATGAAACTGAAAATAACGATAATCAATGAAACTAAATACCAGTTCTTTGAAAAGCTAAGAAAATGGATAACTCTCTAGGCAGAGTGATTAAGAGTAGAAAGAGACAGAAATTACTGATAGCAAGAATGAAAGAGGAAAGGATCATTAGACAGCCTATAAGCCTTACAAGAATAGAATAATACTGTGAAAATTTTTATACTAATAAATTTGAAATCTTATGTGAAACTGACAAACTCTTAGGAAAACAAACTATCAAAGCTCACTCAAAAAGAAATAGATAACCTAAAAAGCCCCATATCTAGTTAAGTAATAGAAGTTATACTTTTAAACTTTCCCACAGGGAAATCTTAACACCCAGATGGGTTCACTGAAGAATTCTGTCAAACATTTGTGTAATAATGAATACCAACTATGTTACACAAATCCTTCCAGAAAACAGAAAACTAAACACTTCCCAATCTATTTTACAAGACCAGCATTACTCTCATACTAAACCAGAAAAGAACAATGCAAGAAAAGTACAGACCAATATCCCCCACGGACACAGATGAAGGAAGTCTTACCAAAATATTAGCAAATATAATCCATTATGAAAGGAAATTTCCTGAACCTGATAAAGTGTTTACAAAATTTACAGCTAATATTATACTTAATAGCAAAGGACTGAATACTTTTAGCCAACATCAGTAACAAAACAAGGATGTCCACTCTACTCATTTCTATTCAACATTACATTGTACTGAAGTCTGAACCAATGAAATAAGACAAGAAAAAGAGAAAAAATACATACCCATTAAGAAGAAATTAAACAATGTGTGCACAGATATGACTGCCTATATAGGAATTTATAAAAGGAATCTACCAAAAAACTACTAGACCTAATAAATGAGTTTAGCAAGTCAGAGAATACATGCTCCACACAGAAATGTTTGTATATATTAGCAACAATAGTTGCAAATAGGAATAGTTTTTTAAATGAACAGCATCTAAACTAGCATTAAAAAACATGGAATCCACAGGTACAAATCTATCAAAATATGTGCAAGATCTGTATACTGAAAACTACAAGATGCTGATGAGTGAAATAAGATTTTCACAAATGCAGGGATACCATGTCCATAGATTGAAACACTTGATACTATTAAGATGTCAATTCTTCCCAAATTTTCTTAGATTTTTGTAGAATTGACAAATTAGTCCTAAAATACATATGTAAAAGCAAAAGACCTAGAATAGCCAGAACAACTCTGAAAAAAGATCAAAGTTGGAGGATGCATATTACCTGAATTCATGATGTATAAAACTACACTATTCAAGATCATGTGGTATTGGCATAAAGACAGACATGCAGATCAATAAAATGCAATACAGTCCAGAAACAGACCCATATAAATGATTTTAAACAATTCATTTCAACAAAGATAGCAAGGTAATTCAATAAGAGCTCTTACAACAGAGTACAGGAACAAATGTTCATCTATCTGCAAAACAACGAACCTTACACTTTAAATAAAAGTGAATTCAAAATGATCATAGGCATAAACATAAAACCTAAGACTGTAAAACTTCTAGAGAAAAAACTCCATAAGAGAAATCTTTGTGACCTTGGATTAGGTGGAGATGTCTTAGATAAAACACAAGAAGGATGAAACATTAAAGTAAAAGCTAATATAGCAGACTTCATCAACACTTATAAGCTTCTGTTCTTTGAATGGCACTTAAAGAAATGAAAAGCCACAGACTGGCAGAAAATAATTGGAAAATACAGATCTTATAAAGAACTGACTCATATCCAGAATACATACAGAAATTCTACTCGATAATGAGAATTCAAACAACCAAATAAAAAGTGGGCAAAAATCTGAACATTTTACAAAAAAAGGGTAAGAGAAAGAGAGACTGATGACAAACATTTTTTTAACTGCTCAACATGATTTCATCACCAGAGAAATTCAAATTAAAATCACAAGATTCTATACACCCATAACAAAGCAGCACAAACAGAAGAAAGAGAAATTAAGAAAACAATCCCATTTACAATTGTACTCAAAAAAATAAGATACCTAGGAATAAACCCAAAAAAGCAGTGAAAGACCTATGCTCTGAAAACAAGAAATTAAAGACAATGCAAAGAAATGGAAACACATTCCAAATTCTACACTCATGGACTAGAAGAACAAATATCGTTAAAATGTCGTACTACTCAGGGGTGCCTGGGTGTCTTAGTCAGTTAAGTGTCCAACTTCAGCTCGGGTCTTGATCTCATGGTTCATGGGTTCAAGCCCCACGTCAGGTTCTGTGCTGACAGCTCAGAGCCTGGAGCCCTCTTCAGATTCTATGTCTCCTCTCTCTCTGCCCCTCCCTGGCTCATGCTCTGTCTCTCTCTCTCAAAAATGAATAAACATTTAAAAAAAATTTTTTTTAATGTCTTACTAGTCAAAGCAATCTACACATTTAATGTAATGCCTATCAAAATACCAACAGCATTTTTTCACAGAAATAAAATAAACAATCCTAAAATATATATGGAACCGCAAAAGACCCTGAATAGTCAAAGCAATCTTGAAAAAGAAAAGCAAAGCTGGAGGCATCACAATTCTAAACTTCAAGTTATATTATAAAGCTGTGGTAATCAAAACAGTATGGTACTGGCATAAAAACAGACACATAGATCAATGCAACATAATATAAAATCCAGAAATAAACCCACAATGATATGGTCAATTAATCTTTGACAAAGCAGAGAAGACTATCCAATGGGAAAAAGACAGTCTCTTTAACAAATGGGTGTTGGGAAAACTGGACAGACACATGCAAAAGAATGAAACTGGACCACTTTCTTCCACCATACCCAAAAATAAGTTCAAAATGGATTAAAGACCTAAATGTGAGACCTGAAACTATAAAAATCCCAGAAAAGAACACAGGGAATAATTTCTCTGACATTGGCTGTAGCAACATAGGTCCCCTGAGGCAAGGGAAATAAAAGCATAATTAAACTATCAGGACTACATCAAAATAAAAAAGCTTCTGCACAGCAAAGGAAACAATCAACAAAACTAAAAGGCAGCCTACTGAATGGGAACAGATATTTGCAAATGACGTATCTTATAAGGGTTAATATCCAAGATATATAAAGAATTCATAAAACTCAACACCCAAAAAGCAAATAATCCAATTTAAAAAAGGGCAGAAGGCACAAACAGACATTTCTCCAAAAAAGACATTCACAGCCAACAGACACATGGAAAGATGCTCATCATCACTTACCATTAGGGAAATGCAAATCAAAACTATAATGAAATATCACCTCATAACTATCCGAATGGCTAAAATCAACAACACAAGAAACAACAGGTGTTGGCAAGAATGTGAA